ACCATCACAAAGTAATACATGTATTCTGTCACATTGACATGGGATCTAGATTTTAAGCCTGCTCTAAAAGATAGTATAATTTCTAGAATTCGGGTAAACGTGGGAAGGACTAGTGAAAGCATGGCAGGAAGGGAAATGGCTTAGCCTTTGACAAGGCTGCATGAACTCTCCCCAGTTCCTAAATCAAGGGGGGAGCCTTAGATTTGATATATCTGAGATGCGAGTCTATAAGTCCCTATGGACTCCTTACAAGGGTCTGTAGGGAAGGAGTTAATAAAAATGGGTATTTTATAGTTAGCTTTTCCCCCCATTCACTCACTCATTCAACACAGATTTTACCCAGCAGCAACTACATAATAGGTCTTGGAATGGAGAAAAACATACGAGGTCCCTGTGATGGTGACAATGGGTGATGTCACTTCTCACAAGGGTTTGTGTCAAGATTTCCTAGATGTTCTGTCGCACAGGTACTGCTGCAGCCCAAAACCTCTACCAGGTTATGGTTTCTGAGAACCCTCCATGTTAAGTTCCAAGCGAATTCTTAAAATAGTCAGAGACATCTTAGAGACACACTGGATGGGGAGCACACAGTATAGTCACTCCAGGTAGGGCGCTGATCTGGACAGCTTGGCTCCAGCCCTGGTTCTGCTATACACATCTAGGTGACCCTGGGCAAGATGTTAACCTCTCTGAACTTTTCTCATATGTAAAATTAACTTTAGCTAAAATTAGCTCCAAGGATCCTTCCAGCATTTATATTCTGTGATTCTCTAAGTTTCTAAATCCCTAAAATGTTAGAATAGGGGCTAGATAAATAAAAATGCTTAGAAACTTCATGTCAGAGAGTCTGTTGGAGGCAAGTCACGATTTTAAACTACCTTTCTTCTAGGTATATGAACTAAGGTTTAGAAAATGCAAAGCCTTTTTATGTGTTGGAGGGAAAATTGACATCCTGCTTAAGGAAGTAATGAGAAAAGCCACAAGTATGAGTGGTACTCCAGAGACTTGATCTATAAGAACTGAAAAGAGATTTCCTCCAGTGAAAGAAGAAACGGGGTACACAGAGGGGCCCTGATGGCACCTGCAGATGCTGTGCTGAAGGAGAGGGGGACAGCTTTTGTTTTCCACGAAGGACAATGGAAGGGAGCCCAAAATTAATAGAGGAGATTGAAGGTGAGCCATCAGTGTGTTTTAATATTTTACATAATCAGCTATGTGTGCTGTGCGTGGCTACACTGAGAAGTTAGAATTCATTATGATTTTAGCTGATTACTCTGTAATCAGTCTTTGGGAACATTTCTGTTTAAGTCACTTCAGTTCGACTCGATGCAATTCCAGTGGCTTTGTGGATTTGCACACAGAGGGCCCCCAGATTACAGACATTCCGACCTTGTGTGACTCCCTCTAACCCCCTTCCTGCAAATCTATTTGCTTGAGGAAAGACTATAAAGAACCTCCTTGCTCCAACAGCAAACATGGTTACCAAGCAATAGTGGAATGTCTGATCAGCGGCTTCTCTCGGTCATGCTAGACGTGGTTAATTCTCTCTCCCACTCTTCCCTCTGTCTCTCTGGCAAGGGGAAGGATAGCAGAGTTCTAACCTAGTACCATGGGGTGTAAACTGTGTTGACGGCTGCCAGGCCACTGGAAGATCTTTTCTACTATATCCTTAGCATTTTGCAACAATTTGTAAGCTGGTCCTTTTTCTTTTTAATTTCCAGATGCTTTGGGTAGTAAGAGGTCCTTTCCATACGATGCTAAAGTGAAAGATTCTCTAAATTCCAAAGGGCATTTGTTCTGCCCTTCTCTTCCTCCTCTCCTCTCCTTGTTTCTTTTCACTCAATAGTTAGAACAATACGCCTCTCAGAAGATGGCTAGAAGTAGTCTCAAGACCTGTACCAAATTAAGCATCTGCATGGGTATGGAGGCCTGGTGGAGGAGAAGGAAGCCCAGGCAGGCAGGAGCCCGGGTTCTCGGCGGGTGACCTGCAGGAGCACTCACTCTGTCAGCTGCCATACCAAAGTGGTGACCACGCATAGGAAGGAGCAAATTACTGCTTTTAACTTCTGAATTGCAAATAATTACCCAACATTGGACCCTCTGGGAGAGCTAGGGGTGGATTTGTTGATGTGAAAGACTCATTAGTTAAAATATGTTCTGAGGGTTTTTATACTCATAATATAGCTTTTGAAATTATAACTGGCAAAGTCCTGCGGGTTTGAATGTTCAGGCCTGTGGGTTCAGGCAGAGCTGAAATCGCTTTGGTCTTTGGGTCTGAGCTGTTCTCTCCTGGTACAGAAGGGCCCAGCAGAGATGGCTCCTCACTTATTAGTGGAAAGACCCTCATTGATTTAAGAAAAAAACAAGAGCAGATATGGATCTTTGCTCTGCCACATGTCCTCATATTCCACATAAATAAGGGCAAGAAGAAGTGGTGTCTGTAACAGAGATTCCGACCTTCCTCTGCTAGCAGGACCCTTCCTAGAGGCACTTCCCCCAGGCTCCCTCTCAAGTCTACCCATCTCACTCTCCGCTCCTCGATCTGCGTTTCACAGATGGAAATCAGACGGGATATACTTTCTGATCACGGGAAGAATACGGCTTTACAAGTTTCAGAATAGCAGAAAATCTAAACTGTGTGTTTCCCTGGGTGTAGCAGGCCCTCAAGATCCGCACCCTCTCGTGTCCCCGGGGAAGGGCAGCCGCTCACCTTTAGAAATAGTCAAGGAACTGTTCAAAGCCTGCTGAAAGGGTGTTGGATACGTCCAGGATGAACCCAATCCAGGGGCAGCTATACAGGGGCATAAAGAGGAGATTCACACTGTGTCTCCACATCCTGTGCCAAGGGCGACGCTGGGGTAACGAAATGAGCCCCACCACCGACTCTTCCAAAAACTTAGTAGGGAAGTGTCATCTTGCCTGATGTGCACCCTAAGTGGAAAGAATCACTTTAAGCGTCTGGTGAAGGCCTCTGGGAAAGTGAGATCATGAGCAATCGAGGATGATCTCACCCCGTTATTTAGGGGGTTGAACTCGACGGCACATGGGGCAGGCAGTTACTGTTAAATGGTTCGTAGCTTGTGGAGCGGGTTAACTGCCAGCAAAAGCAGAGGCCGAGCCTGGAAGAACTCTCTTCATCCCCAAACTTAGGAAGGACAGGGAGCCCCTTTACACTGGGAGCACTTTCTTTTCTCCCGGAAAAGATAACTTCCCTCGAGGGGTCCGGGCGAATGAGACAGTGCATCTTCTCCGTGGTGGCGATGAGCACGGGTCCAGCACCCCCATAAGGATGAACCACCGTGGACACACCACACAGCCCTCGGCCGCGTCCATAGCCATGCTCTCGCCACGGCTGATCACCCACGTATACCAGCTGGGGAGCAAGCGTCTGCACTGTGGCTCGAGATAAAAGGTATTTGACTATGCTCAGGTCACATATTATCTTGGCCAATAGTAATTTTATATTGTTTTCTTAAATGAAAACTGCACTCCTCGTAATAATCTTTTTCCAATAAAGCAAAACTTCACACGACAGAAAGCTTTACATATAAATATTTCACTGACATAGTAGCAGTGAGTGCCCTCTAAGCCAAACAAAAATTTGAAATATTTTTATTATTTCTTTTGATACATAAACAATGAGGAGAAAGGGTTTGGAAGACCCTCAGTTAAACTTCTAATGATTGTACTTTCTTTAATAGCAAAGTAGTTTTCCCAGCCCTGGAGAGTTTTCACTCTTCAAGTGATACAATATAAACAAACCAAAAAAAAAAAAAAAAGAAAAGTGAAACTTTTCCTGTCTTACTTCAGGAACCTCAGGGCTGAAATCATGGTGTGGTTTCCTGACCGCCCGCTTTGGTTCGCAGCCCTAAGCGGTCTTGTGCAATTCCCCAGAGGAAACATTTGAAGAGGGTTTTTCTCCCACATGAGAGAGCTGCATCCCACACAGCCCACAGATTTCCACGGCAAACATCATGGCCCCAGCGTCTGGTTCCACACAAGGAGCTGTGGAGTTTGTTTTTTCTTTCACAGGTGCACAACACTCATTCACAGACCCCAGAAACAGGACCATATCCATCTTTAACAGTGAGGGTAGTTTAAATACTGGAGAACTCTGTGAGACCCAGGTGCCAGTCAGGTCGATTTTAATTTACCAGATGAGGGAAGAGAGAGTGGCAGGCAGGGTTTAAATTCCCAGAGCCTCCGAGCTGATCTTTCTTCACAACTATCTGGTGTACACAGAAGTAGTGTATAATCTGGCCTGTATTCTTCTCTTACTGTGAAACATAGTGAAACGCTCTATGTTTAGGTGTGTGTATAGAAATTCATGAAGTTCTTTTATACACTTTCTTAGTTCCAACACAATTCTCATTTTAGGACGTCTTGAAAAGACAGCTTTGTGAGAGCACATTCTGCCCCGGCTTGTAAATTTGGATGTGTTCTTTCCTATCTACCGGCCACCTGATTCCCATCCTGTGCAAAGGGCACCCGTTCACATCATTTTTTCCAAGCGCTCAAACCTGGAAAGATATTTCTTAAAGGACTCACAGAAGCTGTCTTGGGGGTTTGGAAAACATTGCAAAATTGTTAGCAGACCTTTTCACTGTGCTATTTTAAGGAAACTAATTGTGTTCTTTTAAAGTACATTTTTGACAATGGGACAAAGTTTTCCTTGCCCCCACTGATATGTGAAATATTTACAATGAAAAACGTCAGTAAAATACCCCAAAGAGATACATTGTAACCTCAGTAACAGTCAGCAACAGGGGAAAAGTGATTTAAAAAGAGAAAAGGTTTCTGCAATATTTATGCTGCTGTTTCTGCCCAAAATGAACTTTTATTTTACCGTTCAAACAGAAGTTTGTTTTCCAACCAGTTGCTAGTTAAAGGAGCAGCTGATCTGGCATCCGTAAGAATCAGCTCTAACCCAACCGTCAGCGTGTTGACCAGAGGAAACGCGTCCCCGCAGCAACCCCCGGAGGTCAGACGCCTGCAGAGCTGTGATCTTACCTTGAGCACGTTAAGGTCCAGGAGAGAGGCTCGGCTCCCACAGGAGAGGACCGGGAGAGGACTCGGATCCGCCGCTGGTAACATGCACTTGGCTTTTATGGGCAGGTGGGAGGAGCCGCTCCTCGCGGTAGGTGGGCAGGAGGGCGGGCGGGCGCGCAGCCCCGGGAGGAGCGGACCGGTTTCTCTCGGGAGGGCGGGGAGGGCGCGCGGGAGCCCGAGGAGGGGAGAGGCGGGAGGGTGGGGTGCAGGGGCGCAGGACCGAGTGCAAATGGGAGAGGGAGGGGGACAGAGAAGGAAAGAGGAGGCCGAGGAGACGTGGAGACAGGATGTAGACCACTGATGGGGAGAGAATGAATGGGAGACACAGACAAGATGTGGAAGGCGAGGGGAATTGGGTTATTTTCCTTTTTTGTATGACATCTTTTTGAGGGGGGAGTTGTGGGTGACTGTTATTGCTGAAGGTGTTTTCTGTGACTCTGGAAAGCTAAATAACGGTTCAGGAAGACTGCGGGCTCCTAAGCCAGGCGCAGGAGGGAACGCTAGGCGTGGGCGCAGCACAGCCGCGCCCGGTGGGCCCTGAGCCGGCGGCAGCGGGGCGACCCCCTAGGTGTCCCCTCCATGTGCCCCCAGCGACCCCGCGCATCCCCCCCATCCTCCCACGCTTCCCTCCCCCGCGGCCCTGCCGCAGCCCCACGCATCCTCTCACGCAGTTCCCCCTGCGGCCCCGCGCATCCTCCCACTCATCCACCCCTACCGCCGCCCCGCGCATCCCCCCACGCATGCCCCCCCACAATGCGGCCCCGCGCATCCCCCCCTACATCCCCCCCCGCGGCCCCGCGTATTCCCCCCCGCATCCCCCGCCCCGCGGCCCCACGTGCCCCCTCGCGGGTAGGGCCCGCCCCCCCCCCCCTCCGGCCCTGCTTAGTGCGCTGCCGCAGCGGGCAGCATCCAGAGGCCCCTCTCGAGACTTCTGCAGCATTAAGGTAAATCCGGCGAAGGTTGGGGAGGATCAGGAGATTGGCTTGTGGAGAAAGGAACCTCAAAGCCAGCCTGGCCCTCCAACGTCTGCTTATGTAACAGGATTTCGGGGCTCTCTGCCCTCTGGTTATTTTCGGTATTTTAAAAACTCTCATTCCTAACAATTGGAAAACGTTTTGGTGCCATAGCGCTCTCTCTCTGTGTCTTAAACATTAAGAGAGGATTCTTGGTTGAATCAACAAGCGACTGAAGGATCAGGCTGAAATTCTTAAGAAATACATTCAGAGAAAGAAAAACAAGCTCCTTTAGCTGCTGAGTGGTGACTCACTTCCTAGCCGTCGCTTGATTTTTGCCACCAAAGGAATTAAAGCATTTTAAAAGACAGAACCTGAGCCTTGGGGATGGGAGTACCGACAGCTGGAAGAGAGGGCAGGGGCATGGGTGGGTGGGCTGGGAAGAATAAGGGAACTGACTTTTACTGAATATATTTATATTGCACTATATAACTATACATACATATATGAAACTCGATTCAGTGCTCACCACAGCCTTATGAGGTATGGAGAACGTCCATAATTATAAAAAAGGATTTTAAAGAAATCCGTTAAGAAAATACCCAATAGTGGCATTTGTATAATCATAATACTGGCTGCCATATGTGCTCAGTTTACACTGGACCTAGTTTTACATATTCATATTTCCATCTGCCAGCCTCTGGAGTCCAAAACCTCAATTGCTTCCTTGTAACTACGTTTATTCTCAGTTGGATGCACCTGGGAGTCAACAAGGGTCAACCACATGTGCCCGGGGTATGAGGGAGATGAGTGATGTATGAGATGAAAAATTTAAGATCTTTATCATAAACACGAATTTGACATTAGAAGAATTATGCAAATGTTACTCCTGATGTTTTGTGACATTGTCTTAATATTTGCAATTTTTCATCTCTATGTCACCTATTCAAATTATATTCAGTAACTTTTTGGCTGCAAGGAAGTTATAGCTAGTGGTTAATTAACAGAAAGTAAGTGCTCAATAGATGCGTATAGTCTGACTAATTGAATCAATGACAGTACTGAGCACTGACACAGAGAGAATGGCCAGTATTTATTAGTTTAATGAATGAATAAAAGAATTAATGAATGCTTATAAAGATGAAACTTCACATTAATGTGCCTGCCCATTTACTGGTTGGTTTTACTCTCTGCTCACTCTCCATAACTCAGTTTTCCTCTTTCCAAACATTATGTTTGTATTTTGAGGATGTGGCCAAATCAGTTAAATGAAGTCTATGAAGTGAATAACCCTTGTTACTGGACTTGGATATAGGACTACACTGACTATTCTGGGGCCAGCCCCTGAAATCAGATGTGATTTTACAGGCAGGCTACCACTTCTGGCACTTTTTAATTTATCAGAGAAATGTGTTCTGGGCAAACTAAACAGGACCCAATTCGAGGAGTGTCTGGGTGATAAACATGTTAGTAGAGATCCTCATAGGATCGCAGCAAATCGTCTTCTCAGTTCTGATTTAATGCTTCCCAAGCATTCCAGCTCCATCACATAGTTATGAAAAAGAGAAACAGAAAAGGCAAGAAAGTACACTCAAAGGGAAAGCAGTGGACGGCTGTGTTTTTCTTCTCTTTCCTCCTGCACTCCCTCCTTTCAAGTCTGAATATCCAGCCAACGAAACAAAGGAGCTCCTTTTATTTCGTTTGGATGGTGTTAATGATTAGTTCATTTCTCCAGTTCACACTTGCCTGAATCTGATTCAGTAGCAGATCTGGACAGCGAGTCAGGAATCCAGGAATGCAATCTCTTTGCTGACTTCTTAGCCTGCCCTTCCAGAGTCTCTCAGAAGGTGACTGAGGTCTGAAATGACCTAGTTTGGTCTTCTGCGGAAAGAAAGGAATCCAATGACAACATGCTAGATGCTCTGAAGTTTCCATTGTGTAGATATAATAAGAGTTACAGATGATTACCTTATTTTCAAGAGTTTGAAAATGTAAGCCTTTTTTTAGCGGCGTATTTAGAATTAATCAATTAACAAATATTTATTGAGGATGGATGCAGATAGTATGGGGTATTCAAGGTAGAGGAAAACAAGAATGTAGATCTGTTCTTGTGGAGGGGAGAAAAGCATGAAATCCTATTAGCTGAGTAGCACAGAGACTTCAGGGAGGAGGCGGCGTTTGAGCTGAGCCGTGGAAAGTAGCATTTGGGGAGATGGGTGATGAGCAGTAGTACAGGGAGAGAATGCACACAAATGGGGAAGGGATAGAGATATGTGGAGGCTGGTGAATTGGCCAGCACCACTGAAGGGACGGGTCTATTTGGCAGAACAATGAGGCTAAAAAGCAGGAAAGGGAGGTGGAGTCAGCTGGTAGGATGCCCTAAGCGTCACGTCAGTGGTCTGAACTGTATACTGTAGGCAAGGAGGTGTCCTTGTAGACTTTTGAGCAGTAGAGTGGCATGGTGGAAATGGCGTATTATTAAGAATTCACTTCTCTTTAAATAGGATCTGTATGGTAGCTTTGCAGATAAATGCTTGCCGGTGTGTCCAGGGCCATTAGCATACTTAGAAATAGAGAAAACTGAGTGTCTGTGTCCTACAGACTGGGAGGTCTGGGAGAGGTGGCAGAAACACTTGGTGGTCCTAGCCAGCGTGTCCCTTCAGTGCTCTGGGTGGTTGTAAGGAGAGAGGAAAACAGGGTGGCCAGGAGGATGGGTGGGATTAATGTGAAGGTGGTGTCTGCTCTGAGTGGCAAAGGAGCCAGTCTCTCCTTCACCTGTGATAGCCTTAAGGTTATCAAAAAGGACCCGTTTCCAGATAATAGGTCTGATGTGTGAGGTCCTTGAGGCTCCCAGGGTTCCTGGATCAGAAGACAACGGAACCTGGCATTGAAAGCCATACCTTCACATTTACGTCTTCACACAGCAACTTTCACTTGTTGCGTATGCGTTACCCTCGGCAGATTTCAACCTCTGACTCTTCCTGCCACTCCTGAGTCCTTCAGAATGCAAATGAAAATGGCTTTTGGTCTTAGCAAAAGTCCCCATGGATTTGAAATTCAGTGTACAGAAGTTTGCTGTCTACTGAGTGACCCGTCAGTCAGTCAGCCTAAACATGTGCTAGGTGTCACCAGATATGACCTTGGCCTGCGAGGCACTTAAAGTTGCCAGCTCTCCTAGGGCATTTAAGTAGGGTTTTATTTACAAGAATTGAAAAGGCTCACAGCACAGAAGAAAGGCACACCTCTCCTGCGTTCCAAAGGAATGTTGGATTCTGTGAGTCACTGTTTTCCTGTTGGCCCAGATGGTAGAGAGCTGACTGACTCTGGTGAGCCCACAGATGACGGCCTCGCAGCTCCCGCTGGCTTCATAAAGAGCACTGGATGGAGGGTCAGGAAGTCTGGAGTTCATTCCCAGCTTGGCCACTCGCTACCTGGGAAAACTTGGGGCAGATGTCTTATCCTTTTTGGATTCAGGGTCCGTAGGTAAAATAAGGAGGCTTAACCAGACACTTTCTGAAATTCCTTCCACCCTTCAGATGCCTGCTCTGTGCCAGTGTGTGGATGCTTCTCTTACTCAGCATCTCCATCCAGTCAACCCAGCACTCAGTGATACATGTGCTCAGTTGCAGACATGAGAGTACGAGCCCGAAATGCACTGGTCCAGTGATGCTACAAGGGGATTACACCCCCACGTGCAAGCTCGTCTGTATTCTGGATACAGAATCCCAAAAGTTTGGGTATACCATTCTCACTTACCTAGCTCTCACCTGTGTCCGTTGTCTCTCTCGGTCTCAGGACTTGGCAGAAGTCTCCTGGATTTAGCCGTCAGCCTCTAAACCTTGAAGCCTTTTAACTCTCCTCGTTTGAATCAAGTAGTAATTCTCGTTTTGATTGATGGAAATGGAACCACACCACGCAGATCCCCAGTTTCTGAAAACTCCATCCATTGTGCCAGATTTACTTGGTGTCCAAATTAATTGACTTGATTTCCTAAGACGCTCTCTGCAGTACCTCCACGGTAAATTCCCCACTCCCTACCGCCTCACCTCTTCACTTCTTCAGTTAGAGAAGATTTGGTTGCTCTTTTCAATGTAGGCTAAATTATTGCAGCTCTTTTTAGTTT